TTCTAGCAGTAACCACTACCTACTTTGAAAAAAAAAACTATACTTATCATTCGAAATGTTTTAAGGTCGGTGCAGCGTTACGCTATGGTAATGCGCCCATCCAACTGCGAAGCTGATCGGAGTTATCCAGTTCTCCATTATGTGTACGGCGGCCCTGGTATTCAGCTGGTTCGAAATGACTACAGCACGTATGTTTCTATTTGTTCCTCGTCGTACTTCAGAATTGTTTGGTGAATGACAAAAAAGCGAGCATTTCAAAATGATGAAAACCAGGTCTGAGTTGATCGCATAGAGGAGTGGGCAGGGCGAAAAGTGTGCGCCACCATTTAACCTTGCAGTCCGCATGTGAGCTGCAGGTCTTATCTTCAGGCATAAGGAGCCAAATAGCATCATCAAGAGGGTTCTTCAAACATTCCCGAACCTTTCTATTCTGCATAGTCCGAAAAAATGGACTAATGTCATGTAACCTGACCTTCATTTGTATCGCATTGCATGTAATCGTGTTCTCCATCACTTCACTCAGACGCATCTCTTATCCTTTCTTTAGCAGGCCGTTATAGTTCAATAGACGCTCTAGGTCACCCAGTACTCACTCCACCTGAACAAAGTACAACAGACTCAACAAGAACGATTTCCAGTCAAATTTGGTAGACTAAGGTAAACGTAAACGTTGCATTGAGAAATGAATTCGTATGGACATCATCTATCTTATGTTCAGCTGCAGACCGATCTGCCACAACCGTTGTCGAATTATGCCAGCATTAACTTCGCTCTACTAGTGCTGTTAAGCATGATGCCATCAAAACGGATTATACTATACAAGATAACGCATGATTTTGAGAGAGTTTTGATAGCAGATTGGGGGGGGGGGACACGGAGCTTGCTGAACCCACCGCTTGACATCGATGATTCGATGATACAGTACCGACCAGTGAAGTATGCGTTTTTATTTTTTCAAACGTAACGTCCTCAGCACACGACCATTTTTTCTGATTTTTCTTTTGCGAATCCCTATCTCTGAGCTGTTCACGGAACGAGTTCTAGTCGCTTAGGTGTGGAATATTTTGATAGACTTTCCTCTTAGAAACCGTCAAGCACCATTTAACCATTATAACTTCATTCTATCCTAATTTTAGGTCTCTCAACGCAACAAATTGTATATGAGCACATATAATGAGTATGACATAAATTCTTTGCTGCATAACCTTTGGCGTCAGTGACGGCTCGAGTCGGCGCATCATGGACTCGATGAACTTGTCGATGTCCTGCGAAGGGATCTTTTCCTATGCGGTCCTCAGTTGAGGAGCTTTTCGTGCTCATTGCGAGCCCTGATGCTCTTAAATAAACGCTCCAGTCTGTCACACAGATTTTCTGTGGACCTTAGATCGGGGGATCGCGACGGCAACGGCAGTAGAATAATGGAACCAGTTGGTGAGCAGCTTCGATATGTGCTTCAAGTATGCGGAAAAATTAAGCCACTGGGGCAAGTACTGCAATCAATTGGGCAGATCTCCATGACCTTGAGGCTCATCTTGGAATCCACTTTATACCGTGGAAGAAACCAACTTCTTTGCAAGGTGTATACTACCGATGGAAGTCGCACAAATTTGATTTCATCCAACTCGCACACTAAAAACTCCAATTCGTCACTTCAGATGTCACACTGCTGCTGGACGATCCAATTCTCGTGAGCACGAGCCCAATTGAAAAGCGTTTGGCATTGCTGGCAGAAATCGGCGGCTTCCTTCACTATACGGCGCCCAAACAGACCAGCATCTCTCAATCGAAGTCGAGCAGTGTTCACGAATGGGTTGGTATCTAGAGAGTCGACATCTCGCGCAGAAAAAGAGCCGGGTCACTCCTTACACGCTAGACAATGTTTCTGTCGACAAGACGAGCGGATTTTGGTGAGCAAGCGCCTACCTGTATACCGTCCAAATTTGAACGCTCTAAAGACAGGCGTCAGAAATTTCCGGTCAAACATAAACGCCGATATAAACACAGATCAAAAACATACACCGATGAACACACACCGATACATATGCACGCGCTGACACAGACACATGCATGCCTTACGGACAAATCAACAAACTTTCTTGGCGCGCCATATACAGCTGAATTATTCGCTGTGAGTTCTTGTTGGTATGCGGATACGTACTTATCTGTGTCGTCATTAGTGTTGGTGTCGTTGTGTGTGTGCTTGATCAGCACACAAGAGGCACACGTAGCGAGTTGTACATGTTGTAGTAAGACATACTTATATATACCTGTATTTTTTTCATGAGAGTATTAAATTTAATCGAGTCAGTTTATTTTCTGATTCCACAGCGCATTGATTCGGGGTCCGTCCGCAGAACTTCGCATGATTTCGATAAAAGTGGCAGTAATGTGGAAAACCCATTGAAGACAGGGGTAGTACCAGTTAGGAGGTACGTCGGTGTAGTGTAAGCGGGGTGAGCGCTATGCGACATCCAACCATATGCAGTTCGCTCAGCGGGTATCTGCTTTGGTGTCTGTATTCGTTTCCAACTTCTGTTCCCTTGTGCATAGTACGTCCAAGTTAATAAGGGGTCAAGGGTAGGCTAGTAGGCTATGAACACCTATAAGTGAAGGAAGGGAGGGGGCGTGCGCGCGGACTGATTTTTTTATGTCTTCTTTAGCTACTTCAAGTAGAAGCGTTCTAATTCAAAAGGGGTTTGGGAGGCAGGTTGGGAACACAGATGGTGGGTGGCAGAAATGATTCCGTCCATTGTAAACAGAATAAGGTTAATCGGAAAAATCAGGAGATATGCAAATACAAATACACACATATACATAAATATAAATATACATATGCATATACGTATACGTATACATATATATACATATATATATATATANTGAAGTTTTGTCCACAAATCGCCAACCTTGTGAGACATTCCCGAACCTTACTATTCTGCATAGTCCGAAAAAATGGACTAATGTCATGNTATATATATATATATATATATATATATATATATATATATATATATATATATATACAACGACGTTTTACCGACAAATTTGTTGTCTAATATTTCAAGAACCATTACTGCATGTTATTCAATCAAAGGTTATGACTCACGCCTCAAAGGCTTACTCTCTACGCAATGGAGACGAGCAGACAGCCTGCATTATATAGGAAATCATATAGGGAAGAGGACAGTGCGCAGCTTAATCCTGAGTTTAGTGCCTTTCCAAGAGAAGGAAATCAAAAACGCTACCGCACGAGCCAATTACTCGAATATCGGATGGGACGGTGTGAAGGTCATACGACTTTATGTTTTTCGAACTGGCTCATCTTGACGTCAGGACGGTCACATGCCCAATGCCTAGACTTCCTAGCGGAAGCTTTGAACGAAAAATCATTTGTCTAAAGTTTTTTGAGTAGAGCGGGTCCTCTGAACTACATAGGTTCATGATAGAGACGTGTGCTGACGTCATCGACGTAAACTCAGTGGTGACCAACTGGACGACAGGTGATACAAGTGATACCTACAGAATTCATTTTCTAGAGTTGTGATAAGGGAGTGGCGGAGGATTGCCTATATCATCATTTCGATTTTTGAGCCAGAAAAAACTAGTTCTGAAGTATTTTTTGAATCTCGGAATCCTTTGGTTTATCAAAAAAAAAACACTGAAAGTTGTTGATATACAGTACTCGCCATAAGAACTAAGATTCACGCGAATGCCGCAAACTCGCGTCTTTTTCGTCTTATCTTTATAAGTTGGTTCAGAGTGAAGTAATTCAAGAGCTGAAGGAACCGTTGAACTCAGCTCGTCGAGCTCTATAAGCTGATACCTTAATGTATCGGAAATGCTTCGTTTCGGATTGTGCCATGCACTTGAGTTCCATCCGAAAAGTAATGGCACGTTCATGGTGTGCACGCTTCAGCGCTTGCAGGGTCTGATTGGTCCGTGAAAATGGATGGTTCAAAACTCCCTTTAGAGGGCGCCACATAGGTATGTAGGTACGACACGTACTCGACAACAGAACTTTACTCATACAATGTGAAGATGATTGATCGGTTTCGTTCAGTCTCCATTGTTCATTTTTAATGTGGGGGCTGTAGATGAACGCATCTACAGTCTTTACACAACACACCTCCCTACAGGCTCCATCGAGGATATGACATCAATTTACGGCAAGACAGTTGTGTCGGTTTTTTGACCTTTTTCCAATTTTCGGGAAGATTTTCCTCCGAAATCTGTGTAGGCGGCGTCGAGGCACTCTGTTTTCGTAGACGACTCCTTGTTCTCTGTTCTCTGCGAGAATGTTATGGTACGCCTTATGATTGATCAAAATTTTTCTTTTGGTATTGTCCAAACTTTGCTCACCGTCATGCCCAAATCACAATCCTGTTTTTTTCATTTTTATTCATCTTTTTGCAGCTAAATTCTGCCTTGGACGAGACTCGAATCCGCACTTACAGAGCACCGTGCCCGGATGCAAATGAGGATTCGAGTTCCGTACAAGGCCGAAGTTTTGCTGATAAGGCGCCAGCCTTGTGAGGCAGTGGGAAAAAAATTACGGATCTCCGGAATTAAAGACACACACACACATACACATAAATACATACATACATACATACATACATACATACATACATACATACATACATACATACATACATACATACGCGTCGTATATGTGACGGTAAAGTTGTCTTCGTGTTACTGTATAAACATACATTACATTAACGGGACTTTAGATTCCTTCTTGCTGTTCATTCAATAAGTGACCTTTCTCTCTGGTGCTTAGTTTCAAACGGCTCAACCTAGTTTCAATGAATGCATTGTGTTGATCAAGCAACTATTGAGCGCAAATACGTCTGAAATAGGGAAAACACAATTTCATGTGTACATGCTGCAAAACTTTTTACAAGTTCGGGTGCCAGCATGAGAGGTACTATTAACCGCATATTATGTATAGATGGATTCCATTCCAAAAGTACACCAAGCTTGGTTTCGTTGTTGTGATGTTGGATGGCCGGGGATCAAGCAATCGAGGGACTGATTTCGAATTTCCCATCTTTGGCAGGCTTGTGAGTGATCGATCTACATAGTTTCTCAGAATGGTAATATAGTTTTTGCTTCGTAGGGACAATATGAAATCGAGGATCAGGTCGAGGGATTGAGGGAAGTGGCTCAAATAATGGATGGATTGTTGGATTTGTCGAGAGTTGTTGTACAAGGATGGAGTTACGGCGGCTATATGTCGCTGCTTGCACTAGCCAAGTTCCCCAATGTAAGTGTGATGAGATGAATTTTATTTTTTTCGCACTATTTTGTTTCCTGACTATGATACACATGTCGCAGATATCGAGCAGGAGAAATGGTACTCAGCAAGAGTTTCGTCTTGACCTTCCCTGACTTTACTACAGATTCGCCTTCAGTTTAGTATAATGCCTTTTCTGTGTCTTCACTCGAAATGGATGTGCGAAGGATTTGATGTTCCTTCCGCTTCCCATACGTTGTTTGCGTAGTGTCGCCAAAATCGATTCCCTATAACAATCATACTAAAATCATTTTTAAGCAGTTTATTGCACTGGTTTCTGGCGTGCTTTGATCTAGCTGCTTGTTTCACTTTTTTCTGTTAGAAAGAGCGAAAGCAACCAAGAAGAACGCCATTACTTTGAAGAGATCCTTAATACCAATACGACACAAGCGGCTCCAACACGTTCTGAGAAGTGGTTCTGTACCTTTTGAGGGGTTTGGGATCATGATTCCGAGATACAGTGCGTCTCATTACTATACGTCCACCCCTTGTTTTACCAAAAGCTTTACTTGTTGCACTGACTCAATGTTCTACCACACACTACTGCAAAAAAATAATGTGTGTGTTGTGAAAGCTGCTTATCATTTCGACGGAATCCCGTTAATGCTTTTGAAGCCTAATCGTTTTGTGGGTGTCCGGGTTACGAGTCTGGAATCGAGGCACGTAACTCATTCAACGATCTTCATCTCATTTTCATTGCAGCTGCTGGTAAAGCTCACATACAATCAATTTTTAGGTGTTCCGCGCTGCTATAGCTGGTGGAGCAGTGACAGATTGGAAGCTCTACGACACAGCCTACACGGAACGATACCTCGGTTATGGATCTGATCGCGATCCGTTTTATGACGAGTCGTCTGTAATCAAGCACGTCGAGAAATTGCCAGATCAGTAAGTCAAATCATTTTCCTGTCTCTTATGTACTGCATGAGCCCACACTCAGACACCCGGAACGATACCCAGTTCCTTGAGGTACAGTCCGTTCGAACGACTGTATCTCAAGGAACTGGGTATCGTTCCTGGTGTCTGATAGTTTTTTGGTTAATACTAGAGGGAGGGTAGCGCCAAGTTGTGCAGTTCATAAACGTGCATTCAAAAATAAAGTCTCGTATAGATTTTGAAGACTTTCACCGCACGAAACAGATGACCATTAAAAGCTCTCCTATTATTTCGACTGGAGTGAAGTGTAGTCGTGTCCATCACAGAAGTGGAAAAGCCACACTGGGATCTGGGATCAGTTAAGCGAGGAAGACCAGTCAACCTTCTTTTATTCATATGATTCCAAGGAAGACCAAGTGATTACGCATCCCATCCACAGCTCATATGAACGATAGGTTATTCGTCATTATTGATCTTAAATCATGTAGGCATAAGCATGTCTTTGTGGCATGCATTATAGCTTCACATAGATTCCATTCCGATTTATATCGTTGCTCTTCTGCAAAGGAGAGCTTCGTTATAAATGCTAGTTTAGTTGCGCCATAAATTGGTATTTATCGCTACCTATTGATCGGAACTGCTGTAGCGTGGGCATCTACCGGTCGGACCACTGTGTCTCTCCGGCCTCCCCTTGACAAAGTCGGATTGCTCGGAAAAGTACCTGTTTTTGTTCCTGTCCCTATTTTCGTGTTTCGGAACATGTAATACTTCTATGAACACAACGTTCTTAGATGGAATTCTCCAAGTGTAGGATGGCATAACAATTTTACAATTTCTCGAAGAGTCATTACACACTCGGATATAAACAGAGCAATGCTACTACTATGCGATATATAGCGACGCTTACTCTTAGGAAGTCGCGATTACGTGGCTTTTCAGCTATACAAAAACTGCCTTTTAAGGATTTGTTTCTTCCGTCCACTGGATTTAAGCGCAACATGACTTTTCAACAACTAAGGTGCCTGATCAATCAGATGAAGCCCTGAGTGGTTTTCACCCATTTTGTCGTCTTATGATAACGCCATTATCAAAACCGTTGCACATGCCTTCCTACCTTCATGAACACATATCACCGATTGAGATTTCTAGGCTATTGTTAGTCGAATAGGTTTTGTCGCAACTGATGTAAGAATCATGAGCATGACCCCATAAATTGGCCGCAAATCTCATTGTATAGCGGTTTCAACGTGTAGCAAGGAACGAACCTATTATCGCTATTGTTACTTTTTTGTCAGCCTTACCGTTGCCCTTCCGTATATAGTATGCTAAACCGTCAAGGCTACAGCTTAAAGGCACCGTTCACAAAAGAGTTAGGGTACCCTTTTGACGAGAATTGATAGAACTACTCTAGAATAAAGCGATAACAACGAAAAAAGCGCAAACAAACGATGAACAAAAAGAATTACAAAGGGTCAAAAAAAGAGCCGGAAAGGGGGGTCGGACGAGTTCACATTGAAAGAANAGCGGTTAGGAAGTGTTCGGGCGAGTGCACGAAGGCGACGCAATGTGTTGACGGCAATAGCAGACAACACATTGCGACTCGGGCAATTTGCCAACCAGCTTATCGACTTTTCACCAACTTCGCTCCAATGCGAAAGTGGTGAACGGCAATTAGGTTTCGTAGCAGCCCAGCGAGGGGCGGAGGGCGACCGTGGCTGACTCTCCGGCTCCTTATTGTGCCCTATCCAGACCGTTTTCCGACCTCATTCCTGCACAAATGGTATAAGAAGGGGATTCGAATTCAAACCATGTGCAAATCTCCGAAACCACTTTTTCGTGAACAGTGCCTTTAGGTACGAAATAAGTTAAGAACTATCATTGGTAATAGCAGCTGATAAAAGCTGACAAAGCTTATCAGCCTTCCCCAAATGTTCCCTTTCGCCCGCCGTCGCCATCCAGTCTTATTATCCTACACCATACATTGTAGTTGCAAAGCTCCACCGTCAACACTGAACCAAGTTTGATTTGGTGGCTCTTGCATTCTCACAGCTGTCATTAACCGTTGTGAGTTCTTGTCATATCTTGTCTTATCCTTGACACCGACTATCGATGGTCTTCTCTCACCCCGTATCACTTATGAAAGTGTCAAGGTCCATCTGTTAACACAAACGATGCGACAAATTCAATGGCTCTTGCCTTTTATGACTCCATATGAGCCATTATCAGTTACATCTTGTCATCCAACTTCAGCGTTTACATCCTGGCACTGGTATTTTTCGAATTTGAACTTACTCGTTCGAGGAGAATGTGAGTAATGAATTTTCGTCCGAGCACATGCACCGACGCACGTAAGCGCACACCTACAATTACCACACATAACTCATACACACTTGGCAACTTATGTGTGGTTGGATGCAACATAACACCATTAATGTCACACGTACCTTTTGAGTTCCCCCCGCCCCCTATTGTTGCTACCCCTGTCTTCAACGAGTCCATATCACTGCTGCTTTTATCATAATCGTGGCAAGTCATGGCTTTTTTAATGAGTGGCAAGAGTGGAAATACAATGAGCAAGAGACAGGCAGGACGAGTTATGCTTTGTGTGCGGAAGTGACTCAGTTAAGTATGGCGAGGGTACAGAATGCCGTTTCTCCGACGTTCATCGATTTGGGGAGGGTCTTTGATACTGTCGGGATAGAGTGGCAATTGAGGTCCTGGGCAGTTATGGTGTTTTTACCCGACAAATAAGGGTGTTTCGCGAGCTCCACTTTCCGACCAGGATTCCGTCGTCCTATAAGGAAGTCATTGTCAACGTAAAAAGAAGTGACCTGCAGGGCGATTGCATTTCGCCCAAAAAATTCCGCGGAAATCATGCGTTATGCGCAGTGGGAAACAAGGGAGTGAAGGTTGACGGCCGCTTCCTATTATACATCCCCTCGCTTTACAGACGTGGTGTTACACCGAACATCGGGCAGACGGAACGAATGCTGGCCAATTTCAACAATGATTGTGGAGCTTAATACTGAATGTAACGAGGGCGATGTTCATGCGAAAGTGCTCGTTGACGCTCAGCGGAAGGAATGTTTCCGAATGCCCTAACTACGTGTATCTAACTCGATAGGTCATCATGATAATCGACCTAGCTACGGCGCTAAGCAGAGCGAAACGTGCAGCGTGGGCGGCATTCAAGTGTGAAGAGTCCGATATCCTCTTAGCGCCGGGATCCCCTTTTCTACTTGCAAGCTTCGAGTCGGCTCAAACGCTCTGGCAATTTAACGCATCGCCAATTACTCTTTACGACTGCTGGCATTAATATTCATAAGGCGCACAAATAGCATTAGCACAAGAAATCGCGAAATCAGCGAAACGAAGTTTTGGTGAGTACGGACGATAGTACGTCAACTGTTTGCGTTGGGGTCCGATGGACTCCCCGTCGGCATCCCTGCCCATTCGAGCGCCTTCCTTCCGTCCATCTGGAAAGAAGTGCCTGAGAAATAAACGTGAGACGCAGTCACATAGAATTCGCAGATGCCGCCGCTGGATAAGAGAAATATGATAAGTATGATACTTCTAGTTTTGAACACCCGTAATCCTTACACAAGAATGTCGACCGAGCAGTGTAGAAGACAGAGAACATAGGGACTAGAGGTCCGCCCTCACCTTTTCGCCACTGTTGTCCCTGCCCTTGCTACTTTAGCGTAAGCCTCAGAGAATTGGACTCCACGAAAGCAGAATGAACCTGCTGTCAGCGTTATTCAACGCGCTTTGGGAAAGACGCTGCTCGGGATTTCCCTCTACAACAGTTTCACTCTGGCTCGCGGCAGGGACGAATGGTAAGGTTGCTGGCACTCGCTCGAGGAGATCGATGGCCTCGATGATACAGATGATGTGGGAAGATAATAGTATAGAATCACGTCTGCTCTTGAAAAGTGCGCGAATTCGTTCCCTTCCGGAGCTAAATCCATTCTTTGCAAAATTTGCAGTAATGGTATGGTACAACGTTCACGCCTAGGTTAACATTCCGGCTGATGAAGGAATCCAGTCACATTAAATATGTCTAAAATCTCAAGGGGTGAATGACCTGCACCAAAGAAGCTATTTCGTATGGGTTTGAACGTGGCCCATACGAAGTAGCTTCTTTGGCCGAGGGCTGGATCAAATGGGCTTACTGTTGTTCACGTGAGCGCAAGAATCATATTTAATGCCTTTAAGAAACACACAGGAAAGGAGCAGAGGCTAGAGAAATCGGAAAGCGTGTCAAGCTCTACTACACTACAGCAGACATTAAATATGATGATTCTGCACTGGCGGTCTGCAACAGCTTCTTGGCGAAAGGGAAGACTCAGAAGGTAGCCTAAAGTAGTGGAGGGGAACAAAGTAGGTTGATCACGTGCTCGTATCTTTCATAGTTATATCGAAACTATGAAAGATCTGAAGAAACTGTTAGGGGAAGATCTAGCTCAGCAGCACAGGTCTTTGCTAGTAGACATAGCCATTGAGCCTTCCGAGAAATCAAGGACAAGAACAGAGCGGAGGATCCAGCTGTGTGCAAGGGATGTGCTAGGAGAGACTTTAGGATCCTAAGTGGACAAGGAGACGTGGTTTTATAACGGCGAACTGAGAGGCAGAACAAAGCTGCTTACAAGCGATTGCCAAAAACGCAAGGGTATACTTTGACATAGTGCGAGACGAATTCCACCGTGAGAACAGCTCTCAGGCAAGAGCGACCGTCTCATCGCACTTCGGACGGAGGGGGCGAAATCCAGAGCAATAGGAAAGGTGAGGGTCGGAAAATCAACTGGTGTGGAAGTATCTATCGAGGCATGTAAGATGCTCAGAGAGCACGGGGATAGGTGCTTGAGCCGATCCCTGAACACTGACCATCGAAGGAAAAATACCAAGTGTCCAGAGAAGCAGTACTATCGTCCTCATCCTTATTCAGAAGTGGAGCGCGATGAAGTATTCAAACTAATGGGCGAACAGATTGGCCTTTCGCACGATGAAACTGTGCGAGTGACTGGCTGTCTCAAGATTGAGGGATCTTCTTTCGACCTCACAAAAGCAGGTCGGCATCAGACCGGAAAGTCTTTGTATCACTGAGGCTTTCTCGGCTAGACAAGTTATGGGGTAACATTGTGAACTCCTTGG